CTTTCTTCCGGGCAACTCCGAGGACTTGTCGCCTGCTCCGTCGATCTTTTTTTTCTGGCGAGGCTCGCGTGCTCGGAGCAGCTCGCCGTTCTGTGGCAGGGCGCCCAAATTCCCCCGCCCCCGCCCATTTTTCCTGAGCCCCCCAAAAAACGAAGAAACACGGAGTTTTTTTTTTTTTTTTTAATTTTTTGGAGTTTCCGTTTTGAGCTTGACCCATTTGGACTACCCGGAGAAAAGATACATTTGCGGATTTCTCGAAGCGTAATTTGTGGAGAACTGGCAAGGCAGGGCTCCCGAATCGAGAAGTTTTCGCGCTTCTCGATGTCCTGGAGATCTTTTTCCTATTTCGACAAAACGACAAAAGTAAAGAGCTTTCGAAGGGTCCGGCTCTTTTTCTGGGGCATTTGCGGTGGCTTCGGATTCCCTTTTGGTTTCCCGCTCAAGCCACACAAAAGGGGTAGCCTCATTAACAAAGAAAAACAATCACACATTTCAAAAGTGTTCTGTCAATGCTGCTGGCTGTCCTGGCTAGCACTTTCTCGTACATCTGGCTGGTCCCCGATGTGTCATCTAAGTCCCCCGGTAATTAGTGCCCTTTCTCACGCCTTTTTTGGCTGGGAGGGTTTCCCTACTAAAAAAGACAAGCCAGAAAAAAGAAACGGTACCAACTTATTCTATCCTCTCAAATCTGGAGGACCTAGGTCATATGTGTCCATAAGAAGTCGCCTCGGCCAGGGAGGGTCAGAGCACTTCAAGCATAGAAGTGTTTCCAAAGACGCCCACCTCATTTGGGTGGTGAGGGTACCTTTTTTGAGGGTACCCTTTTTTGGGGTTTTACGAGGAAACTCAAAGGAACGATTTTTTTGGGTTTTGAGGGGACTTTTCTTTTTTTGTGTTTTTTTCCTGGAAACCAAAAGGAACACCACAATTTTTGGGTCCCCTAGAGAAATACACACCCATGTTGACACTCTGTTGCGAGGAAAGGGAGCTTTGTTGTTGGGTGGCTAGTGAAGAGTGCACCGTATGGGCCCCACAAATGAGTCATTGCTGCGGCACCTGAAACATTTGGGGGGCATGCCAACGGTTGATCATGAGCTGACCATGGCTTTGTGGGCCATGGCATGGTCCAAACCTAAGCATCTACTGGGATAATCTTAAACCAGTCTGAGTGAAAAGAATGGACTGGCGACCACCCCTGCCATCAAGATGGCCGTGCAGGAAGGCCAACATGAACCTGGCCTGAACAACACCGACAGACAGTCAGCCATGCATCACGCCTGGCCAGTCAATGCCAACCTCTTGACCAGACTTGAAACTGCAAAGGTTGCACATAACAGCCAAGAATTCGCCAAGCTCCAGCGTCCGCAGATTGTCGTGATCAACGCAACATGAAAAACCGATAAGGTTGCTGGTCCGCCCTTCGTTCCTTACAAGGTCTTGGGTAGACCATTGTAATAGGTTTTGGTTGTGACTCATTTGGCTCAAAGATCCATCACGTCCCAACACAGTTTGACGATCAATTTATAAGTCAGCAAACCAGTGAAGTGGGTGCGGATAGAGTGTGTTGTTTTTGACCCAAGTTTTTTTCTTCCAAGCTTTACCAGCGGCCAAGAATTGGACTTGTTGTTTCCCTTTGGGCTACGGCGACTTTCTTGAATGTCTAGCGTCTAGCGTTGGTGAAAAAAGAGCGGGCTGGGCTTCCTCTTGAAGCGACAACTTGCTTGCCCAATGTGGGAAGTGTGAATTGTTGTACGACGTGGACCATCTCCATTTTCAATGGCCGAAGCTCTTGCAAACTCAAAGCTGGCATTTGGAAAGTGACAGGTTTCCTTCCAAGACAGCAGAGAATCCGGATTTGGCAAGTTTGCTCACCAGATGATGTGGCACCATCTACTGCACATCTTTGCCAGCGCAGATAGTTGCACTAGGAGGTGCTCAGAACCTGACAAATGGGTTGGTTGATGCTTCCAAGTTTTCAACACAACGATATCTACAAGGTGTGTTCTTTTGAGGAAACTTCCTTGAGATGCCATCCAAGATTCATCCAAGCCGAGTGTCTGTGCCGGTCGAGTATGACAGTCAAGATCCGCTCTGGCCGCTAAACCACCCATAATTATTGACTTCTCCTAAAAGAGCCACTAGGCCCACTAGGGCTTTTCATCCGGCTTTTGAGGACGCACATTGGCGGTTGAATGATTGGAGGCCTGCATGTGAGTCTGAGGCTTAGACGAGTGCATGCAGTGTGGGGTGCTCAGTCCGACATGCCATTTTTGAGCGAGTGGTAGGCGCATTTGTTGACCCAATTTTCGAAAACGTGCAGGCCGATTGACACAGGCACTACTATAATCCTCGAAAAAGGCGCACGGCCAGATACGGCCGCGCAAGTACATTTCTGGAGTGTCTATCAACCCTCAACGCTTGATTGCGCTCTTCTAGGGGGTACCTTCCTCATTCGTTCCAGGCATCCTTCTTTCTAAAAAACCATCCGAAACCCTGGGGAAACAGCTGGTTTTTGAAAAGAACGATGGTTGAAAATAATGGGGAATCAACCCCTAGAGTTCTTGAAGGTTCAGTGAGCTATTACTCGACTTTGCCGCAGCAAGCGATTTGTGCTATCGCGTACACACCCGGCGGGAGTTGACCTGCTATGCGTCGTAGCACAACAAGAAGTTGGCATAGTGCGTTTTCGGACTAGTCGGAATCTCAGAAGTCTGCTGGTCTTGTTACATCACACATGTAGACTCACAACCTGTCTTCAAGCCAACAACTCGTTCAACTGCCTTTGCAGGGCGGTTGAACATCAGACTTTGCAAGTTGAAGGGGTTCTTGACACCTTTTTCCTGCCATGGCGACTTGGGCGGGGCGGACACGTAGGCATAGACGCTTCTCCAGCTGCAGGGTGTGGAAGAAAATCACCTGAATCCAGGCTCCCTTCCTCCCTGCTTCAGGATTGCAGTCTAGAATTGGAATAGTTGGATCCCATGCGACGAGGGCCCACTTTCTAATCAGACGAGGGCCTGGTCTGAGCCCCGAAGATGGGTGACTCAAGGACTTTCGAAACTCTCCGATGGAGTTTTCCAGGTGAACCACGCTCAGACTGATGTGGGTGTGTCTTTTTTTAAGCGCCCCCCCCAAAACGGATGGTTTTCTTTTTGGTTTTCCTTCAAACCAACCCCAAAAGGGGGCTACTCTCTCAAAAAACAAACACCAACCCCAGGTTGGTGCAAGTCGAAAACTCGCCAGGGAACACCTCCTGGAAGTGGGATCCAGGCGCGCTGGCAGTCGGATGCCAAGGGCGGTTTGGCGTGGTCTGGTTGGGAAGTCAAGGCGCGGGTTTCGTCTTTTGAAGTTGGGTTTAGAAAGAAACCCAGAAGGAGCACCCAACTCCAGTTTGGGGGGCACCCTATTTTACTTGCTGGTTTAAAGGGCGGGGAATGAGAATTGGAATGACCCCAAGAGAAACCATTGTTTTCCTTAGGGGAATCCCTTTCCCGTTCATTCCCAAAACCCGGACTCGGTCATTTCTTACCAATCGCACCAAGCAAGTTGATGGCGGAAGCTTTGCTCGTCCAGGTCTTTTCCGCCAGAAATGGTGGAAGCAGCGGAAACAGGTTCTCTAGGCCCCAGAGTGCCCTTTTACCTTTTTTTTGGGGGAGGGTTCCCCTACTAAAAATATACTACAGAAAAAAAGGGTACCCTTATTCTAACCTCTCTACTAGAGGACCTAGTTCTGACGGGACATAAACTGAGATGAACGTCAGAACAGTTTGGCCAAGGTGTGTGGCTTAACTACGGACAGATTAGCCCGTGATCAAAGAAGGTATCTAGAGCAGCGATCCCTTGAAAGCCACAGTTTGTGGTATGGCAGCATCCTCCATGACAGTCTCATGACTCGCCGAAATGTGTTTCATATCTTTTTATCCCTTGCTCACATGACACATGCATGCTTTATTAGAGAGGGACAAGTGAGCCACAATCAAAACCCGGGTAGATGAAAGTTAGTAAGGGGCAGTGCCAGCCAGAAATAGTGGCGGCCGCCTTCTTAATTCTTTACATGGTTCTGGGTAGATCATTGTATTACCGGGCTTTCATTATGACACAAGTGAGACACACGAGAAATCCCAAAAAACCGGGGACTTAGTAAATTCCCCATGCCCTCTTCGGGCGGAGACCAGCAATTTTCACGGTGCCTACGCAGCTGCGAAGCCAATGCCCGAGAGGCTTATTCCGCAAGCAAATGTGAATTACCCTCCCACCAAGGAACACGTGGAGCCTGACGTTCGTGAAATGGTCCCTTTAAAAAGAAGATGGTCCGAACCAGCACCCCCCCCTCCCATCAGGTTCCATGTGAATTGCCAGTGCATTTGTTGCGCAGTTAAAACAATGAAGCCTCACATGCACAGACACGTGCGCACACACACACACACACTAGTGGGGAAGTTATGAAAGCTCCAGCAGTTCATGAGCATACGTACTGTTGATATTTGACAATGCAGCAGTTGGCCACGGGGATCGGAGCCCTCGAATGGTTTGTCCAAACGATAAACCGCTTTGCGATGCAGGCAGTACCCTCCTGACATTGAACATGGAGCAGAGGATCCCTTTTAAAGGACAATAGTATTCCAGGGCCCCAAAACGCAAAACGTCAGGTTCCACGGGTACAGGAGTGTCATTGGTGCTGGAAGTCTCCTACCAACAAACATGCGTTGGGTGCCCTTTTCCCAGAGGAACCACAATCCAACTATGGATGGACGAAATCCTGCACCACCCAAGAAACCCTGGCATGATGATTCGCCTGTGAATACCAACAAACAACGGTTTCCCATGGTTTCAAGTGGTGCAGGAATTTGTCCACCCACAGTAGGACTCCAAAGAAAAAAACATCCAAATCAGGGTCAGGTTCCACGCGAGTCACTGCGCGCGCGGTTTCCCGTCGCCTCCTCCGGCCTGTCTTCTTGCCAGGAGCCGTGCCTGGCGCCGCCGGAGCGCCCAAAAAAAACCGGGGCAGTCGGATCTGGGGATCTGGTGGATGGCATGTGCAAGGCAAAGCTTTTTGGTTTTGGGGGTCCTGCATCCGGTTCAGAAAGCTTCCTTGAGCCATCCAACAGGTTTGGGGTCTTTGGTCAGGAGTCCAAATCGCTCATTTTTGGGAAGAGCCAGTTGGAGACCCTGGGATGGGGGAAAGGAGACAGCAACGGAAACCAACATGTTCGGAGGGGCAGGGTGGCCTCATCCTTCGGCTTGGACCATAGCTCACTGCATCGAACATCTCATCCGGGGCTGGCCTCAGCGCGTCGAACAGCTGTGGGGCAAACCGCCGAGTCCGCCAGATGCAAAACCAAAAAGCAGACAGGCGAAACGGGGAAGTGGGTGTGGCTCAAAAAGCCGCGCCCGAAATGAAGATCTGGTAGATGGGAAAGTGGTCTAAGACCTGCGGTCCCTGGCTCTTAAGATTTTCAGCCACGCCCAAATCACAGCCAGTGCAGGAAGAAATGCAATGCCATGGGTCAAACCGGCCCAAAGAAGGCGGTGAGGCCATCCCTCAGCCAGACCAACACACAACTCTTCGCAGGCCCGCGCTCCATAGACATAACCTTTAAGTGGGTCTGTTTGCAATGGGGTTGGTCAAAAGGTCTGCTGAACATGGGATGACCATTGAAGAAAACCAAAAAAAAAACAGCAGCAATCTACCCATGGTCATTTGGGTTGATCAACCCCCGAATGGAGGGACTCTCAACATGGGTATTTCTTCCCACCTGGTTTCTTGAAACAAGCCAAACAAGGTGCCCTTGAGAAAAAGCAGACCCACACGGCCAAAGGGCGAATAGGGGCTGCACGTCAACACCAGCTGGATGGGGGAGGGGAGGCGGGGGGGGGGGGAGGAAGCCCAAATTAGCTCTTAAGGGTCTTGAGCTTCCTCCCTCCTCTTTCCTTCCCCAGGCCGAAGCTGAAGGAGGAGGAGACCTCACATATAGGTGGAAGAACTGAAGAACTCGGTGCCCTTGCTGAAGGATCCCTTCGGTTTTGTTTTGATTCGACGGGGTTGGAGGATGTGTTGCGCAGAAGTCGTTGTTTTTCCTTGAGAGGTTCCACCCCAAAAGGGGCAGGCAACCCTTGGACATTGGTTTTTCCGAATCAGAGGCCCTCAGTGTCAAAGGCCATCAGTTGAGCAGATCCTCTCGTAAAAGCACAACTTTTCAACTTTTTGGGTAACATGGGCTATATGTCTGTAAAAGATTAACTTCCCCAGGGCTTGGAGTTTTAAGGGGTAAGGATCCTTACAACACTGAAAGTTAGTTGGACTCCTTGCAGGTTCTGAGCGGCCACCTTGGCTCAGCTTCCCCTGAATTGGTGGTTTGGATTGGCGGTTTGGGATTTGAATCCCGGTTCCTTTTGAGAGGCCATATCCATAGGATCCCACTGCCAGCCTGATCTGGATGTGTCTTGTTTGAGGGCACCCCTTTTTGGTGGTTTCAAAAGGGAAACCAAGAGGAAAACCGGAACACGACCCATTTTGGGGGTCCCCTAAACAAAGACATACCCATAGAACTGCAATGATGGCTGGCTGCAACATTGAACCCTGAAGCACAGACTTTCTGACTTTCTGGGTACTAAAGAAGCCTCTGAGACCTTCAGTTTGTTTCCGCTGAAAAAAAGAAGCACCCTTTCCATTTGTTGGTACCATGCAGTCGCCCCAACTGGTCCTTGACCAATTTTGCTCGCGCGCAAACATCGGTTCGATTCTTGTCCTTGAGGCTTACGGGAGCTCAGGCGCACGAGTGTTGCCTCTGAGTGTCGTCCTTTGATCGTTGGGTCAAAAGTGATAGAACAACTGTTCAAACAAAGCAACATGTCAGCGACCTTGTTGCGGGTGGGGTCGGTGAGTCCGAGGATAGAACAACTGTTCAGATTCAGGTCAGGTCCTCCCCAAAAAAAAACAACAAGTCAGGGACCTTGTTGCGTGTGGGGTCGGTGTAGCAAACGGTCGGGGCCCGTTGGCATGTTCAATAGGACATCCCCACACCCTTCAAAATGGAATTGGGGGAGGGGGGTGACCCCTGAAAATTCATGTATGGTTCCATTTTCCCTTGGGGTAGACTAGCTAAATTAAATTGGGGATGCGAGTACCCCGGTCCCCTTCATCTCATGGTGGGGGGGGGGGTGATGGGACGTGAGTTGACAGGGAAAGTCGTTGCAGCTTGTGCCTGATCCAGTCGCACGCATGTTGTGGCTAGGCCAAAAAGCACCCGTTAGCCAGGGGGTGGTGGATTTTCAAATTGAAAATCACTGGGTGGTTTCCATTGAAACTGCCACTTTTGGAGGTTCCCTTTAAAGGGAAACGGCTCGGACACTGTCAACCTGAGCGTTGAGTTCTGTTCTGCTGCCTTGTCCAGAGCTACGGCCATTCTCATTGCCCAAGGCAGCTTGAGTCTTTGGCACCTGAGCCAAGCATTCTAGGGGTTGATTCCCCATTCTTTTCAACCATCGTTCTTTTCAAAAGCCAGCTGTTTCCCCAGGGTTTTCGTGGTTTTGTAGAAAGAAGGATGCCTGGAAAGAATGGAAATGGAAGGTACCCCTAGAAGCATGGGCTTGTTTGCCGGCCGCCTTTTGCCAGCCACTTCTCCACGAAGCTTCGGGCAGGCCCGCCGCGCAGCCCAAGAGCTCCGGAGGCGGGGCACTTTTTTTGGGGCGCGCTGAGTCTCGAGGCCAAAAAACGATACCACTTTTCTCGGTGGGTCCCAGCTATCCCCTGAGGTGTTTAGTGCTTTTTAGCTAAACCTTAGGTTTTTAGTCCTTTTTTAGTGCCAGCGCCTTAGGTTATAATTAGGTTTCTAGCGTTGTTTGGTGCTTGGTGGTTGGATGTCCGAATTTTAACCGACTAAAAGGTAAACTGTTTGCAGGGGATCGGAAATCGGATAGCCCAGTTTTGGATGGTTCTTCTTTGACACCATCCTAAGGGGAGATTCATACTGGAAGTGTTGGACATCCCCCTTGGGATTATTGACTAGGGGCATAAAAAGAACTATCCATGTTTGTTCAGGCCCTTCCATTTTGGGGCAGGCCCGTATTCCATCAAGACGAGGTCGGCATGCCTGGTTTTGAGGGGCTTACCGGGGATCCAACAGTTCACAGAGGAATCCTGAAGTAATCATTTTTTTTTCTTCTTTTTTTCTTCTCCGGTTTTGAACAGGAAACCCTGAGATGATGGGTACCTACCCAATTGGCCGTTTTACGATAAGTTTCCTTGTGAGGTTTGAAGGTGGCATAGAAGGACATTTGTTAGAGGCAGCCGCTAGAATAGAAGTCGACTCCAAGTTCTGCGAACTGCGTCGAGACGACCAGTGATTTTCTCTTGTCTGCCGTACATTTGGGTGTAAACTGATTCTGCTCAATGCATCAGCAAAACTGCTTGCCAACCAGCTGCTTGGACTATGGCCAGTCCCCCTTGTCGTCTTCAGTGAAACCCTCTTCTTAGGTTCAGATACTAGAAGCAACGGTTGATCCCTAAATATTGCAAGTAGGGAAAAGGGACTCGGACGCTCTGTAGATTCAATTGGTTTGAGTATTCCCTTTTAGTTGCTTATTCAATTGGTTTGGAAGCAAGGGAAGCCCTGTAAATATCGTAATTTCCACTGCTTTGCCTTTGGTTTGCTTGCAATATGTCGAACGGGGCATCACCGAAGCAACGAAGCAACAACTTCCTCGGGCTCTCAGCCTGGGGCTCTAGATCTTTATAGATGGTTTAGCGGTTGGGTGTCCATTTCACCCACTCAAAGCTTAAGCTTTTAGCAATTAAGGGATCGCACAACGGACAGCCCAGTATAGTATAAGTACTAAACTGCGATTGCTTGTCAATAGATCATGGCAGTAGAGCTAACATTGCTTTTGTTAAATGCAGCCTCAGCATACTTGATCCTCGGAAATCCCTCGACAGAGAAGCCTTGATGTGTGCACCTGTCTAATGCCAGTTCATGTGTTTCGGCGCAGTGCAGCGCATTTTGTCCATCTCAACCATTCGCAGGCGAAGCGTTTTGTGAACATCAAGCAACATGGGCGTGGGTCAAAAATAATTCAGCCACGAGTAAACCGCTGGTTTCGTCCTTATTTCCTTTTACCAGGGTTCCAGCATTCCAGCCATTTTGTGCACACCTTTTTGACCCGCCAATTTTCAGAAACTTTGACGGCGAAGTCGTTCGGGTTTCCGTTTTGACCCAAACTCGCGACCGCTTTCCAGGCAACCCGGCCGATGCTGAAGCCTCGGCTCGCGAATCGGTCGAACCGTGAATCGGTGGCGCGAATCGGTGGCCCGAGACTTTTCGGCAGGGTTCGAAGAAAGTGCCTCTTACATGTGTGGCCACTGAGGACTTGTCCTCTGCCACCTTTGCTGTCTCCTCCGGTTTTGCAAGAAACGAAATAGACGTTGCTGTTCTTTGGCATGAAGGGCCGAAGTTTTTAATCTTGTAGGGTCTTTGCTTTGCTTCCGTGACTGAAAGGAGCATTATGGAGTTCAGGGGTCTCCTTGGAATGCTTCGCAGGGAGCAAAGCCCTGCCAAGCTTGAGCCATGAATTAAGGTTTCACCCGTCGCATTTTGACCATCCGGGTATATGTAAGGGGTCTTGGCCTTGGACTTGCGGTGCGATAGGAGAGATTGAGAATTGGAACTGACCCCAAGAAAAAGCATCCCACTGGTGGTTTCCTTTAAGGGGACCCCTGGGTAATAGGAGAGAGCCTATAAACCATCCAAATGGTTGTTTCCTTTAAGGGGAATTCTGGGTTCATTCCCTCATTCCCTGCCTATCGCACCAGCAAGTTGAAGAAGGAGCTAACCCCCAAGTGGCCGATTTGCGGATTCTTGGTTTTGACACCTTCCCAGATGGCTGCATGTCACGTGTGACCGCCATTCATTCCTGGCGTCTCATTTTTGCTCTGTCTCCCGACCGGTAGCTCAAGAGCGTCATCCTCATGCCTGGGTCATCTTGAATCGGACCGGCATGCGTGATTCCCACATAGTGACAGAGTGCAATGTCAAATAGCGAGCAGTGACCCCACACCAAGAGTGACTGAGGAATGCCATAAAAACCAACCCGCTAAAGCAGGCTCATGTCGTTTCTTTAAACACTTGATCAACCATCGGTTTAGAAATCAACTTTTCAGTGTCTTTGTTGTTTCAAAAGGTGTCAGAAAAAGGCTTTGTGTTAATGGAAGGTCTCAGCAGCTATCCGGAAAATGGCCGCATTCAAGCCGAATGTTCGCTGCCTCGGCCCTGACCTTTTCGACGTGATCTCCACATTCCCAAGAGTTCCTTGGGAAAACAGCAGACCTCGACGACCTTTGCTTGCTCGGCCCTCTTGTCGGGTCTTCCCGCAGAGGTCTGCCGAAACCTTCTGCAACTTTCTTTGCGAAGGGGCAGAATCGGGTGTGTCCTTTTTCGGGCCAAACCAAACCCCCAAATCCCAAAATGGCTTCGGCTGTCCTTTTTGGCTTCCCTTTAAAACCACCATTTTCGGGCTGAACTCCCAAACTGGCTCAACGGCTTTCCTTTTGGTTTCCCTTGAAAAAACCGAGGCCATCAAACGCGGTCCCCGAAAGGAGAAAAGCGCGCCAGCGTGGCTGGCATCCGATCCGCGCTCAGGGCGCCGCAGCTGCCGCTGCGCAGCGCCCAGCGGGCGGAGGAAAAACAATTCGGCCGACCGGGAAGTTTTTCAGCACGCTTGCGGAAAACACGCAAGGGCCGTGCTTTATGGCCTCAGAATCTGCTGAGACTCTTTTTTTGATTTTCCCTTGTTGGGTTTGAAGGTCACTGGACTACTGGACATATGTTCTATTTTTTGCAGGTGGCTTAAGCAGATGGAAGTGGCGATTCGGAAACAGATCTTGGGATTTGAACTTTTTGTTCGAAGCAGGTCAGATTTTCTCATTGGACCCACAACAAGTGTTTATGGCAACCAAGCATGTTGCCAGCTGGAGAACTATGGAAGACTACTTGTAAGCATGTGCGGGGCATTTGTCGTTACGTTTTATCGGCTCGGGCAACTTTTGACTAAGGGACTGTAGTCATGGCAGAGACGTATGGGCACGGAAACACGTGAGGAGCTTGGTAATGGCACACGAAGCAGCTGTTAAAGCGGTTGTCTTGCTTGTGCGAGAGGTAGGGAATGTGGGAATGAACCCAGGGTTCCCTTAAAGGAAACCGCAAGGGGTTGATTATGGGTGCCTCATTCCCTGCTGAGCTCCAGCAAGTTGAAGGAAAGCACGCAGGATGTGGAATGTGCAGGGGCTCCTGGGTAGTTGAGGCTCCTGGAACGTCTACACGTTTTCAGTTGGGGAGTGAGATTGCATCATTTCTGGCATGTTTGCCAAGTCATCCTGTCCAAACAAGCGCTTGAGTTGGCGAAGAAACGCTTGCTTGCCAGGTGTATTTCCAACAGATACAGTTGGCAGTGGGTAAACCAACGGTACCATTTTGGGGGTAGGTGCACCACCCAGTTTAGTCTATGTTCACTGAAAGTACGATTTGGATTTTGACCCATGGCCTGATCGATTCACCAGCAGCTTGCTGAAGAAAAGATGCCTCTTCAACTTGATGTGCTTCTCATGGCCTTTCGCCAGCGAAATGCAGACTTCTAGGAACATAGGGTGCCTTACCAGTCGCCCAGGTCGAGCAGAGGCTGGCAGGGCGGATGTCGCCCAGGGTTGCAACTGGTCTTGGCAGCGAAGAGCCATTGGCAAGTCTTGCTTGTTTCGGTATGTGTTCAAAAGCCGAAATCACGCATACATGCTTAAAAATATGTACGTACACAAGACCTAAGAGTTAGTTTAGGGCTGGTTTTAGGGTTGGTTTAGGATGCTTTAGAGTGGTTTGCGGTCGGCTTGCAAACATCTTGCAGCGTTTCCAGCCTTGTCAAAGCGAAGCGATCCTCGAACTAGGATGTCAAAACAAGGGTACGCGCTTGGCTTGATCATTGCAGGCCCCCTGCAGGCGGGACCTTGACTCTGGCAATCCAAAAGGACCGTTAAAATCTGATGAGGCACATGAGGCACAATGAGGCAAGAAAACATCATGTTTGGGGGGGGGGGGGGAGGGGGAGGGGGGGGAAGGAGGTCTGGACCATTTGACTTTTGTATGTATGCATATATATTATATAGTCAACCCCCCCCCCAGGACCACCTTTCTACTGCTTGCACAGAAGAGAATCATTTGCGGATGTTCAGCTTCCACTTGATCCGTACATGCCTTGCAGAAAGCACTGTAGTCTACAGTGTTTCGCAACATTTCGTGTATTGTGTCAGACTGTGAGATGTTGTTTGTTTGCTTCATGCGAAACACGAATCAAAACAACAAGAATGCATGAACACTGAAAGCGTTTTCGGATGCAGCTTTGTCAGTGTTGGAAATACCATTATGTGCAGTGCTATCTACAGGAAACTAAAACACATACATTTGTTGGCCTGTTTCATGGTTGAGCTCCCAAAAACTGCGAGGCTCAACATACCAAAATTCCAAAGCTGCAAGCTCTTAAACTTGCACAGGCTCGAACAAATGCAAAGAATGCAACCTCCGGATGCAATGTCAGATGCTAGGACTTGATCGGTCCAGTTTTTTTCTTCTTCATATTTTGTGCCTGTGCAGGTATTAGAGAGCAGTCAACTTTTTGTGTCTTTGCGTTTTTGTGGGCCTTTGCAGGTTTTGAGGACCCAAAGCTGAATTGGATTGCGGGGGCAAACCCATGTATATATAATTAATATCCCTGTGGTCGCGAATGAAAGCGGAGCGACCCTGTGAGTTTCCAATGAGCTTCTGAAAGGGATTCATTTCTCTAGTGCTACCTTTCCCCTTCTTTCCAAAGATCCCTCTTAGAAAACCTCCAGAAACCCAGGGAAACGGATCCGGTTCTCGAAAAGAACGATGGTTGGAAAGAATGGTTGGAATCAATCCCTAGAACTCTGGGATTAGCGTCCTATCCCAGTTTGTCCAGTCAGTTCCGTAGCGAAAGATTTGCATCGTGAGCCCGGAAGTACCAATTCACCTGTCTACCACGTTTGGGTTGCGGGATGCACCCGGGTGGCGTCTCAACTTATGACTTCTGGATACACTGGGCGAATATTAACGCAGCCGCGCAGATTCTTTGGGGTCACCCCAAAAAGAACCAAGGGAACACTTCTCCACATGAGGCTCTGTCTAATTGAGTTGTCCTTATGCACATATGGCTGCTTAAAGCCAACCAAACTGAGGCAAATACTCATTGAATGGACATTCTTTGTACTGAAGCTTGCATGAGCCCAGTAGAATCACAAGTGTCCAATTCAGGACGGGACACTCCACTTGTTGGGCCGTCCGATTGCCTTACCGATCGCCTGAGTTCGGCCAGGCCAGAATGGCGATGCCAGCCCCTTGAGATGGCCAGAAGCCCAAAGCGGTTTGGAATCCCGCGGTTTGGAAGCCAGTCTGGGCTGTCAGATTGTTTTAGGGCTACCTTCCATTTCCATTCTGAAGGGATCCGAATCTTTGCAGGAAACCATCTTAAAAACCCAGGAACACAGAGCTTTTTGAAAAGAGCGATGGTTGAAAAGAATGGGTCATCCCCTTTCTTGAAAAAAAAAAGCACCTCAAGTCGCCCACAGTTTCCCGCGGCTTCCAGATGTGTCCTTCCCCGCAAAGAAGCCACGGGGGTTTGGCCCTGTGTTTTTGCGGCACACCTAATTGGGCGCCTTCCATTGGCGGGGGAGCGATTGGCTCGCTGTTCGGCGTTTCGGCTGTCCAAATTTAGGGCGCTGCACAAGCCAATTTAGGGCGCTGTCGGACGGTCAGATTCGCAGATTCGCATTTTCGGGGGGGTCTGTGCGAATCGGATCCTGTTTCTGTGTCCATGCTTGTAGTTTGTTCGCCGTGGCTGGGAGTCGTTTTGGGTCCTGTGCGCTTCTCTTGGAAGTCTTGGGAATGTGATTTTCTTAGTTGTGTTCGCCTGTGCCACAGTGGAGCGCTTGAATCGGAGCACACCTAGTCGAATGTGCCCAACAGGCCTTGGATTGAAGTGCTCCAACAAGCAACCAGTGTCCCCGAAATGCATACATTGCGCCTAGGGAATGAGTGGCTGTCGTGTCGGGCCAAGGGGGATTTTCTTGTAAATGGCCCAACATGTTTGTGTCTTTCCCGATCTCATGTCGATCCCTCACGGAAATGAAGTACTGCAAGTGCAATAATTCCGTCTTGCGCAGCTATCCCAACAACGGGGCTTCACCAATCGGTGCACATCACTTGGATATTTCGAGCTCGAAGGAATTGCACGGAATTGCAAATGACAGTCTTGAATCACTCTTGTGTAGTACCTTTGAAGCGTTTGCTGAGCACCACCTGGTTTTGCCTGTAATTAAGCTTGTTCTCCCGACTTCTGAACAGTGCTTGGGTCACAGAATAAGTTGACTCTCCGCCGGGAACGCGCTCCTTACTGCGCAAACTTCGGGTGGAAAGTGGCCGATTTCTGGCTCAACTTCACCCTGCAGAAGGCAAGCGACTGGGTTCTTCACAAGTCGGCATGGGTTCCCTCCTGTACTAGCGACTGATGTATCAATCTGGGTGCTCAATTTCGGCCGCCAATTTTTCGGAGTGGAGGATTCCTACTCAGTCGACAGGGGCATTCCGTTTGCGCGTGCTTTGAACTCGCGCGCTCAGGGTGAGCCCGGTCTTCGCGCCCCTTTTCGCATCTTGGCAAGGCGATTGGTGTAGGTTTCGGGCCTGCGAGGCGATCGGCGTCTGGAATCGCTCACTCAACTCGGATTTTTGGCTCGTGGTGTTGGATGGTGTGCTGTTGGGGCGCAAGTCTTCATGTCATAAGTGGCGACTCTATTGATAGCGCTCAGGGCAATCCACTGCAGCGGGGCTATTGTTTATGTGCCAGCATGTTTAGTTCTATGAATTCCGCAAGCGTAGCAAGTGAACCCAATGATGCCCCATCAGACCTAGATTGCCCCATGGAACCAAAAATGAAAATTATTGAATTACACAACAAGTTGCAGTTGCCATTCATTTCAACACATGCCCGCGGCAATAGTGTCCGTTTCGTGTGACACATTTATCGTAGCCAGCCCAAAGCTAGTCCTACACTTCGAAAGCTGAACGCACCTGCTGGCACTAGCTTCGTCTCGTTGGCAAGAGCCAACTACACCATGCCGCCCTTGTTTCCATGAAATGATTCACACTAAGCAGGGCTCCTTAAAAGATCTCCATTTTGCAACCAATTGAACCATGTTGCTTTTTCAACACCAAAATACAGGGACACCACCATTTACAAGGCAATGTTCAGGTGTATAATGTAAGGATTTACACTAAGTCCCATATAAACCAAAGGCTGGAGTTGCAAGCCCACCAACCGCAGTCAACGTGTTTCACAGTCAGGATTGCAAGGAATGCCGATACCGCCAGCAAAAAAGACTGACATGAAGCAAGACGACAATGATTGATGAAGACTGGCAAATCGTTTAGAACCAACCCCACACACCCACACACAAACACACACAGGCGCGGAATTATGCATCAATTTGTGTCCCCCGTCCCGATTTTGTTGTTCAACCACCAACACTTTCATACAGCCATAGTCTGGGTTTGTCTTTGAGGGTACCTTATTTCTGAGAGGGGTTCAAAGGAATCCAAAAGGAATACCACCAATTTGGGGGTCCAAAACAACGGCCCGATTGGCCGTGAACGGGTGCCTCGCAAGACGCTTCTCCCTTTGGCAGGCTCTTTCCAATGCTCTTTTGTCCCAGGCTCGTCACACAAATCATGGGTACAGCCAAGAGCTATCTAGGGCGAGGTCCATGAAGGACTTCGGGAATGAGCTAATTAACCTTATTCACGCAAGCTTTGCGCCGTTCTGCGCAGGCTCCCAGCAAAGTCTGCAAGCGCGGACTTTCCATGATCCTCATGGCAGCTAATTGATCTACATGAGCATGCTTTGGCACGCCACGTCCCAGGCGGTTTTGCCTACGCAGTAGACAAACGTATGTAGCCGTGGACTGAGCAGCTGGCCTAGGCAAGACAAACTGCGCAGCAAACATACGCAAGCGAAGCACAGTGAGTGGGCACATTAGGGACAGTTACAGCCCAAGCAGAAGACGAAGCGTCCCGGAGGAATGGCAAAGACAGCCCCAAGTGACAGATGCCAACTACGAGGATCACGCACCACAGATAACGTTGCGGCCATCAGCGGATCTGACACAACTCCCGCAACTGATCAATTTTCCCAGGGTGAACCTCGAGCCAGGGTGAGAGGTTCTGAGGTTGGGACAGGAGTGGAGGCCGACATGGTGAGAAGGTATGCAAAGCAGCAGAACGAGGCACAAAGAGAGCCCTGCATCATCAAACAGCATGAGCCAAGACTGGTACGAACGTGTACAAAGAGGCCCGCGTACAATTTCCCACCCCCCACCCCCCACCCCCCACCCCCCCCCCACCCCCCAGCCCCCCAGACATCCAAGAACAAATGCCTGAAGGCACGAAATGCGCACGCACGCAGCAAAAACGGCCGTGACAGCACGTGCATGGGCGTGAGTTTGCAGCAATCGGAGCCCAAAACAAAGACGGGCCCATATTTGGTTTGTTTGAAGGATGTTTCTGCACACATTTCGGTGCGACCTTTTGCTATTCCCGCGTGCTTTTGGATACAATGTCGGTAGCCTTGACAGATAGCATATCTTTGCGACGCACAGGCTTCAAAACACACCAACGCATCCGCCAAAACACCATGGTTCAAACAAGTGAGATTGAATGGTCAAATTTCTGGACACTCCAGCGGTGCTGCTTCAAAGGCTTGAAAGTCCATTGTGGCTCTTAGCTAGCATCGCCTGCCATTATGGTGAAAGGGGTGCAATGCGTGTCCTTTGGTAGCTGCCAAAAAACAACTTCGATATGCCAAGCGGGCCCTGTCCAGGGGTGGTATCTCAAAGCAGGCGTCCTCCAAAGTATATTCAGGCAATCATACAATGTTCACATGTCCGCGATCGATACAATTCAATCAAGCATGACAAGTCAACATTCAGAAGCAACACTTCAGTTCAGCAAAATGGTGCTGTGCCATGTAATTTAGTATGTCAATCCGATTGAAAACAAGTGGTCCGACCATCGACGTTTCAACGCTAGGCGGGCCAGTTTTCGGGTCCGACGGCTTAAGGCAACTCCTGGGTGGTTGTTCACCATTGATATTGGTCCGTCTGTGTTTGGGGAGCCCCATGTTTGGTTCGTTTTAACGGGAAGCCAAGAGGAAAACCGACGCCATTTTGGTGGGTGCCGCTAAAGAAAGACACCCATATCTTCTCGAAGCTGTGCCAAATCTGATGAAATTAATTAATGTGCATGAATACATGAGGCACTTCCGTAGATGAAACTAGATGAAACGTGGAATTTACTCTTGCATCCGTAAGCTTTTTTACGCTGCATGCATGAGTCACGCTTTGTAAGCTTTCCGTCAGACTATTTGTCAGATCCATTTTTCGTTCAGATTGTTGGTAGAAGTTGGCTTTGGTCCGCGCAATGCTTCTAGGTGAAAATGGGACCAGATTGCTGGAATTGGTACTTTTGAGTAACATCCTGGAAACCCATATGGGAATTTTGTCTGCCCATACGGCTAGGGCCACCAAAAATGGCCATACGGCCATTTACTTCTCTCAACATTTTGCTGAAAATGCTGGTTGCATACGGCCAAATACGGCCACCGGCCAGAAAAAAATGACCATACGGTAAAAAAACGAGGCCAACAGCTTTCCAACATGTTTTTGCGTTACACGTTTGTATGTTTTTGTCTGGAACTTGGAAAGCACAAAAAACTTTTTGAGCCCAGAAAAGTTTTCAGGGCCCCGCTGGACAACATTTCATTTTTTCGAGCTAGCAACTTCTCGAGCCCCGAAAAGCTGTTTTTGGCACGTCTTATAACACTTGCAAGCGCTTTTCAGGAGCGTGGCTGGAAAACAATTTGGGGCTCAAAAAGTTGTTTTTGGCGCTTCAGGCCCCAAACAGTGGATACACAGCACCCCGAATAGTAAGACTCGATTGCGCAATGGTCAAGATTATACTTTGCATCCTGGCACGAAGAAGGTGGAGGCTCGATTTTTCTTCCTGCACTCCAGGGACCAATGGCAAGAGGCTGAATCGTTGCGGCGGAGAAAAACGGAACAGTTCTTCACCAAATCTTTTTCAGTTGAAGCAGAGGTCCACCATGCTTAGCCACTGCCCTTGCGCAGAACATGACCACGCAGACTAGCAAAGGGCGTCTGAAGGCGCGTGCGAGGAGGTCCTTTTTGCCGGGGGCAAGTTCTGGTGACGAGGCGCAGGCAAGAGCCCGAATCGTCGAGGGCCGGAAGAAGCTTCTGGGGCCCCGAAAAGCTTCGCACCAAATCTTTTACAGGTTGACCGCATGAGGGGTCACCAAAACAGAGTCATGCAACCTGTACGTCCTTTATTGGAGGGGGAACCAACACAAGACTTGTAGAGACTGGGGAGTGGTTGGGCCTGTGGCAGGCAAAGCAAGGGAAGGCTTTGGCGCAGTTTACCAAGGGCTTACAAAATGCTTCCGACAAAATCGCCGCAGTTCCGCACACAAACTTGGCAAGAGGCTTCGAACTGCAAAAGAGAGCCAGCCAGGCTCCAGGGAAGAAGCAAAGCCTCACCGTGTTGTAAAGGATTTGGTGGGAAACTTTTCAGGGCCCGAAAAGTTTCTCCCGACCCGCCACAATTCAGGCTCCTGCCTTGGCGCTCTCGCGCCAGAACTTGCCGCCGGCAAAACAGACACACAGGCCTGCCACGAGTGGTAAGCTATCCGTAAGCTCCAGCCTCTAAAAATAGCCAGCGTAAGTGAGCTTTGGGTTGGCGGAGGCTTTCCGCAAGTGATTGCGGAAGCTGGAGGAATTTCATTTACGGGTACAGTAACAGGTTTTTTTGGTCACTGCTCACATGAACCCAGATGTTTCAACCAGATGCGCAATGAATATGTCGAGCTGCCATGCGTATGACTAGCCTTTACAGCACAGGTAGGCTTCAAAACATAGACGAGCTTCATAAACAACTCAGCGCTTGTGGGCGCGCGTGTTTTGTTGTACGTTTAGACTGATCAGTGCATGCGTTAGCACACTAGGAAACGCATATGCTTCCAATTGCTCCAACATATGTTGTGTTTTCTCGCGGGCCACTAATGTGACAATCCCCCAATTGGTGAATGTACTGATGATGCCCAAACTTGCGAGATCAAATATCCAATTCGTAGGACGCTTGATTGCTTTTCCGCAAGAATACCAGTCTAAACCGAGAAACATGTGTATTTGTAGCAGGGGCTAGCTTGCAGACTTCCTGCCCCAACTTGCAGCGACCAAGAGGCTTTGCGATGTGACGCCTCTTTTGCCCGGTTTGAGTACGAGCCACTCAAAGCCAGGTTTACGCACCGTACATGACACATACTTGGGAATTTGTTAAAATGTAATTCCCTCCTTTTCGTTCGGCGCTCGCCACAATGGGGTTTGACTATTTCGGGAAACACCTGTTGGAACTCAGTTGTCCAAAGCGAATCGACCTTTTGACAGTCGGCTTCCCAATGTTGGCAACCATTTTTAGTCATGGCCCGAAAAGGTGATCACCCTTTCTCCAAAAGTGATGAATCCCCACTAAAACCAGGGACACCCCTACATTAATAAACAGGGGTTGATTGATCTGGGGTCAAGATGAATCTGAAATTTCCGGGTCCAAACAAGGGGGGCAACTGAGTGCAGTTCTCGTGCTCTTGTGTTCTTTTTTTTTGCCGAGGCTTACACCAATAGCTGCAGCCCTCGCTCGGAGCAGAGAGGCCAGGGGTATGCAAGCAGATGAGCCACCATCAAAACCCGGGTAGATGAAGGTTAGTAAGGGGCAGTCCCAGCCAGAAATAGTTGCGGCCGCCTTTGTATTTCCTTACATAGTTCTGGGTAGACCATTTTACGATCGGGTTTTGATTGTGACTCAGATGGCTTTTCCTGATGGAAATGCCGGGTTCATCCAAAAGAAGACCTGCTGAGAATCGCTCAGTTGCTACTTTCGATGGCCGCCAAAGGCTTGGCGGTTACTCAGAACTTGTGGAGACTGCTCTTTTTATATGACCTTAGAAAATGGGGTCATTACCTCAAATTGAGGGGTCATCGACCCATTTTTTCAGGGTCATGGAGACTCTAGGTTGTTCTTTTGCATCGGAGCCTGGCGTTTTTTGGAGCTGTCGCCCAACCACCAGGCGGGTTTGGTTGCTGTGCATCGATGTGATACCAGCCTTGTACTCTCCTCATCTGGTTCTTTGGCGATGGAGGGCAGATGGTTTCAGTTTCTGTTTCGTGCATTGTATCCGCCCAATATTTGGCGAGCTCACCGATCCGGGTTACATATGGTAAAATTTGCGGCTTGTATTTCTTGTAGTTGTTCCTTTTGTGGCTTTGGTTTGGGGACCTGCAACCTTGCCTCTACGACTCTGCATACATCAAACTCTGCCGGACCTCACCCAGATCACCCACCCACTCTACTTCGGCTGTGCCACCTGAGGACATCATCTTGATCTATGGGCGTTCCTCTTGCAAAGGTTCAAGTTGGCGACTTTCTAAGCAAGCCCTGCACTGGCTCGTGCACGCGACGCCTCATCCCCCCCATTGACTTCCCTGTTGTAGGAGCCGTTGGGCACCAAGAAATATTCATTTCCGGGATCGCATTCCACACTTGGTGCATTTGTTTGATTTGAGGCAAGCGCCATTTGGGTGTGTTTGTTTTGGAGGGTCCCTTTTCACCTTGGTTCGAAGAAGAACCAAAGGCAACACCACCCAATGGGTCCCCCTTCGTGACACCCCCCCCCCTCCCATTTAAGGGCGCGTCTCAAAATTGAAGAGCTAGGGCAAACCGCAGGTTTTTTCGTCTTTGGTTCCATTTACCACGGTGCCATTGTGGTCTCCATGTTTTTGAGCCACAGCGTTTTTTTTGGCTGCGGGGTCAAAACCCTGGAAACCCCTGGTGAACGTCAAAATAGGTGGCAAATGGATGTTCATCCAATGGAGCCATAGGTTATGCCCCATCGCCATTTGGTTGAGAAGCAATTTGTCCATTTTGCTGGCCGCAGGCCCCCGCAGCCCCAGCGCGTCCCCACGGAATCGCTGCAGCAGCCCGAAGCCGGAGCGCGCACGAGGCGCCTGGTTTGGCCGGCTGGGGGATCTGGGTCTTGGGGGTTTGGGGGCGTTTTCGGGTTTGGGGGGCGTTTTCGGGTTTGCAGGCGTTTTGGGGTTTGAGGGCGTTTTCGGGTTTGGGGGTGCGTTTTGGGGTTTGGGGGGCGTTTTCGGGTTTGGGGGGCGTTTTTAGGTTTGGGGGCGTTTTGGGGTTTGGGGGGCGTTTTCGAGTTTGGGGGGCGTTTTGAGGTTTGAGGGCGTTTTCGGGTGGGGGGCGTTTTCGGGTTTGGGGGGGCGTTTTCGGGTTTGGGGGCGTTTTCGGGTTTGGGGGGCGTTTTGGGGTTTGGGGGGCGTTTTCGGGTTTGGGGGGCGTTTTCGGGTTTGAGGGCGCTTTCGGGTTTGGGGGGCGTTTTCGGTTTTGGGGGGCGTTTTCGGGTTTCGGGGCGTAAGAAGGGTTTGGGGTGCGTTTTTGGGTTTGGGGGGCGTTTTCGGGTTTGGGGGGCGTTTTCGGGTTTGAGGGCGTTTTCGGGTTTGGGGGTGCGTTTTGGGGTTTGGGGGTGCGTTTTGGGGTTTGGGGGGCGTTTTCGGGTTTGGGGGGCGTTTTTAGGTTTGGGGGCGTTTTGGGGTTTGGGGGGCGTTTTCAAGTTTGGGGGGCGTTTTGAGGTTTGAGGGCGTTTTCGGGTGGGGGGCGTTTTCGGGTTGGGCGTTTTCGGGTTTTGGGGGGGGGCGTTTTGGCGTTTGGGGTTTGGGGGCGTTTTCGGGTTTGGGGGCGCTTTCGGGTTTGGGGGTGCGTTTTGGGGTTTGGGGGGCGTTTTCGGGTTTGGGGGGCGTTTTTAGGTTTGGGGGCGTTTTGGGGTTTGGGGGGCGTTTTCGAGTTTGGGGGGCGTTTTGAGGTTTGAGGGCGTTTTCGGGTGGGGGGCGTTTTCGGGTTTGGGGGGCGTTTTCGGGTTTGGGGGGCGTTTTCGGGTTTGAGGGCGTTTTCGGGTTTGGGGTGCATTTTTGGGTTTGGGGGGCGTTTTCGGGTTTGGGGGGCGTTTTCGGGTTTGGGGGGCGTTTTCGGGTTTGGGGGGGGGGGGGGGGGTTTGGGGGCGTTTTCGGGTTTGGGGGGCGTTTTCGGGTTTGGGGGGCGTTTTCGCTGGGCAGAAGCATTGGAATAGACATCCTCTTGTGGCGTATTGAGGGCCCGGGCGGATATAAAGCTGAGGCCTCCGAACCGGTGCCATGTATGCCCGGCTACCGGCTGTTGATGCTGTGGATAAAAGGGTTCAAGAATGCAGACCCTTCAAACATGAACACACACACACACACACATACGTGTATGTAGAATTTTTGAGTGTACCCCAACAGGTTGATTTGAAGGGAACCAAAAGGAACACCACTATTTTGCGATTTATACGTATCCATGCTTTGTGGCTGCGCCTGCACCTTGGGGGGTGACAGCGGCTTTGCCTTTGTTGTCCAATTCCCAAGAGGATCTCAACATCGTTGCCTCGACAGTCCGGCAACGCAAAGAATGATGCTAGACTTTAGGTGACGAGATGGGGTTCCGTAGAGCTATGTTGGAAGCGGGAATATGAGCCGTGTGATGTTGCGCCGGGAAAAGAAGTGCTCAATGACCCCGGTCACAGATGTTCCACCGCGAGATGCTGGACTTGTTATTCATGGGGCCTGGAAGAGAGGGAGAGTGGAGGGAGCCCAAATAGACCCTAAGTTAGGCCTTGTTATGGGCTTAAAAAGGGCTTGTTTCGGCTCCCCCCCCAGCCCCCATGATGAGCGTTTCAGCCAGGTTTGGACCGAACCCCCCAAGCAACCCTCAGCTGAAAGGCTGACACTGAAACCGTGCCGTGAAGCCCTTGCTCAAAGAAGACCCAACAATCCGATGGACAGAGACTTCATTTTCCGGGATGCTGAAAGTGTCCTATGGACATCCCCCTTACAGTTGTTGGCTAGGGACTGAAATGACACTGCTCATGTTTGTTCAGGCCCTTCCTAGCCATCCGGAGTTGGTTTAGTGGTTGGATTTCCGGATCGAACTCACAAGTTATTCACTTTTGGCAGGGGATCTGAGGACAGCCCAGGAGAGAGACTTCATCAGAGATGCGCATGTTCAGTCTGTCTGATGCACACCACCCTTGTGCAAGCAAACTGCTGCGGCTAGGTTCAGTGCAGTAATTGACCAATTCACGTCAGCTTAAACTACATCTACGTAGTTGTGAGCAAAGGCCCTGGTTGCAAGTAACGTTCTATGCTTCCGGGCCAGTGTAAATAGCGAGCCTTGGAAGACAATTCTGCACCCCTTGAATGCTCCTTACTGCTGTAGGTTTGAGGATGCCAGCGCTAGCCATGGTTCAGCCATCATTTCTCGAACCTCCATCAAACCCACGCTCGGAACAAGTTGCGCATTTGGTACTCAGCTTTGTTGATGGGAAGAAGGTTCGTGCAATGTGTATACCAAAACATATAGAATAGATATGTTTTCAAGAGTGGCACATTTGGTTCGTGTTGTCCAGCTGGGTTTTCAGAGCCCACGTTGTTTCTTGTGCACAGACAACAAGAGCCACGCATCAATGCGAATCCCTTCTACATTTGCACCAAGAGCGTCCTGTATGTTCTCAGGCTGCTCGTCATCTTCAGCGTGTTTGTTGATTGCTCAGGACTAATTTGCAGGCTGCTTAGGTTACCTGTGGAGGTGGTTTGTCAATGGTTGCCAAACGGGTGCCTTTTTTTTGGGTAACCTTTGCGGTCGTCATCTTCAGCGTGTTTCTTGGTTGCTCAGGACTTCGCCCCAGGGATTTGCGGAAGGCCCAGTCGCAACTTCGCAACCTCCAGGTGACACCAAAGAGGTCATCGACCGCGAGTTCGCGTGGGCCAAGGGCCCGGCCTTGGGACACTTCTCCTTCCTCCCAACATGGCACCTGACTGGGGGTGCATTGCAGAGGAATTTGATGTTCCAGTCCCCCAAATGCTATGTTAGTGGGAGGAGGGGTGTCGACCATTGCAATGAATTTCCTTTACTCATGGGGGCTGGGGGGGAGGGAGAGAAAAGGGAGGGAGGGAGCCCTTAACAAGGGCTTAGCAAGGGCTTATTTAGCGCTATAATAAAACTTAGTAGGTATATACGTATACAAGTATATGAGCACTTAATTGAGCACTATAGGGGGCTCCCTCCTCCCCACCTCCCCACCCAGCCTATGATGTACTTTCCCTTTGTTGGACCTGCAACATGGGGCAGTTTCATTGGGCTCCACCGGCAAATTGCGCAACTTTTGTGGGGGGCAGGTGACCCTCGCACGGACCCAAGCTAGGAGTGTCAGCCATTTCTTGTTCTCAGATGGCTGTCTAATGGGAAACTTCACACGACCTGTGTAAGGATGTCTGTCATGCGAACCATCACGACCTCTTACACAAAGAGCATAGCTTTGGAGATCCTGAAATTTGTTACCAGCGATTGGTAGCTACCCCCACTCAACAGTTATGCATGCTGCGTCGGAGATTCACTCCACGGATTCCTCTTTGGCAACAGCTCCTAGTTGTCGAGATGGTGATACCCTTGTAAGCCAGACACTGCCGCAAACAGCAAGCAAGCAAGAAAGCAAGCAAGCAAGCAAGCAAGCAAGCAAGCAAGCAAGCAAGCAAGCAAGCAAGCAAGCAAGCAAGCAAGCAAGCAAGCAAGCAAGCAAGCAAGCAAGCAAGCAAGCAAGCAAGCAAGCAAGCAAGCAAGCAAGCAAGCAAGCAAGCAAGCAAGCAAGCAAGCAAGCAAGCAAGCAAGCAAGCAAGCAAGCAAGCAAGCAAGCAAGCAAGCAAGCAAGCAAGCAAGCAAGCAAGCAAGCAAGCAAGCAAGCAAGCAAGCAAGCAAGCAAGCAAGCAAGCAAGCAAGCAAGCAAGCAAGCAAGCAAGCAAGCAAGCAAGCAAGCAAGCAAGCAAGCAAGCAAGCAAGCAAGCAAGCAAGCAATACGTGAAGCAGGCAGTGCAATCTGTGATCAAACAATCGATGGGTCTGTCTGAGCCCTTCAAAAACCCAGTGATTTCCTCTTGGTGTTCCTCCCCCACGGGTAATTACCAAGCCAAAGTGAACTCTCCGAACGCCGAGGGATTGGACCCGGACCTGGACGAGAGGGGAGGCGCGGCTTGGGATCCACCAACTTACCCGTGGGGGTGGTGTCACACGAAGAAACAACTCATTCTTGGCGGGTCTCACATTCTGAAATCGTCCCAGATTGCTGCCTGCTCTGAATGTTGTTCTTGTTTTACTGCTCTGTCCTTTTTGGTGCGGTGTTTATGTTTTTTCTTTTTCTTTTTATTCTTCTGCTTTCTGGTGTGTGGTTGGTCTTGTTTCGCTTCTTTCCTTGCTGCCTCTTCTTCTCTTCTTTTTCTTGATATCCATCTTCTTCTTCTTCTTATTCTTCTTCTTCTTCTTCTGGTCTTATAGCCAGCGCCGATCCAGCGTGGTGAGCTCTTTCTCTTGCAAGGCAGCACCATATCCGCGTTCTGCAACCGAGCACAAAGGCAAGCTACCATCTTATTGGTATTGAGAATTGGTTCCTTGCGGGTGCATCGTGGTGTTGGTCTCCTGTTCGAGAGCTGTTGGGCGGCTTGGAGGAGATCCCCTGGGCTGGATACATGTCCTTAGCTTGGATAGAAGTATGGTTTTCATTGGTTTAAAATATGGTGTCCACGGGTTTAGATTGGTTCTCGTGTACCAGGGGGAACGTTCCCAAAAGCTCACCTATGCTTGACATCCTCTGGTCTCCCCGTGTCGCCGAGCATCTCTTCCAACTCTCCCCGGAGGTATGTTGCTGCAGCACCAGCTTTGAGGTGCTTTAGGCGCGGCATGGCGGAGTGGTTCTGGGAAAGAACCACTGAATCACAACGTGTGGTTTCCCTTTGGCAACTCTTTTTCACAATCCACGCCAGGAAACCTTCAAAACAGACATTTGTGTGGCTCTGGAGCAAGCGACTCATGCAGCCACATGGGTGTTCCTGTGTTGCTCTTGAAGCTGTCCGTAAAGGGGAGGGCCATTGCTCTCACAAGCACCGCCCATTCTTTGCTTCCATATTTGTGTGGACACTTATGGACCGTATGTTCTTTCTTTCAAAGCGAAGAAAACAGATGCGCGCGGCATCAGTCCCTAAGTCTAGAAAGCATAGGAAGTCAGAATTTCTGGCCATGAAGACTGGCCATGTAGGTGTGGGATTTGAAGAATGGCGCTGTAGGTTGGACCCTTTGATTCATTCTAGGGCTTGATTCCTTGACCATTCTTTTCACCCATCGTTCTTTTCAAAAACCGACCGCTGTTTCCCAGGGTTTTGGGATGCCTGGAAAGAATGGGGAAGGTACCCCTAGATGCATTGGCCTTTTTCTGTGACTTTTGCGCCTTGTTTCGTTTTTTTTGGCATAGTAACACATCCTTGCGGATATGTCAACATGTTTGTTGACCCTTCCTAGCGCCATGCCCACAGCAGAACCATTACTCCAAGACCAGCCTGCCACCTCGGGGGGGGGGTTTCGACGTTTTGATAGCTATGGAGGATGGTTGGTTCTTCAAAGCAAACTAGGTTTTGGTTTCCTTTTGCTTGGGGATTCGCCATGCGATTCGGGTCTGTCTTTTTTGAGGGCACCCTTGTTTCGTGGTACAGGGCAAACAAACTGACACACGCGATTTGTTTGGGGCCCCTTTTAAGCAAGTACTCCTCATACAGAGACCGTTTTTGTGTTTGGCCGCTCTATGTCTTGATCCAAGCCAGGAGGCAACTTAGCGTGAAGAGCATTTAAGGCACTCGCTGAAAAGCATTGAATCAAGGGGCTCAGCAGTGTCAAGCGGGCGAGTTGGGAATACAGCAAGGAAACGCGGACACAAACTCGGACACAGACATTACCAGATTATCACTTTCCCGGTTTTGCAATGTCTGTGTTTGTGTGAGAGGCTGGATGCCTCTACTTGGTTGCTTTTCCTTTCGCACATCCTTGCGGTACCATCCAAGACGAGGTATGGCTAACGGTGCGCTTTTTCGGGCTTCTCTCATTCCTGTCAGCGGTTTTTGTCGGTAGCGTTTTGGCGAGGTTGATGCACCATCATGTGGATTCGTGAGCGGTCAGAAACTAGCAAGATTCTGGGAGTGGTAGGTAAGCTAGAAGTATACCTGAAGTCTGAACGTGATTCGGCTTGTGCCAACATGCGTCGAAATAGTGTGTGGTGCTTTCTCTTAGGATCCAGCATGGGAGTCTCCCAAAGGCAGAGAGAGCATGTTGCAAGCTCTTTGACCCCGTCTTTGGGCGGTGCACGTGTGAGCGCTGAGTGAGTCGGTGAGTCTTGTTTTCAGTTTGATAGCGGCTTCCGAAGTGGCAGTAGGATTCAACAGCGTTGGGTGTGGCTGGTCAGGGCCCCTCGTGGGGGCACCCAAGGGCTCTGGGGTGCAGCCCCTTTTGAGATTCTGAACCTTCCGGCATGGTCAAGTGAGTTTGTTTCATGGAGTTTACTTGCTTTGCGCAGAGTGATGTGTGAGGGGCCGATGAAGTTCTTGCTGAGGTCTGGAGACCACAATGCCACCTGCAGCTCGGTCAGAAGCGACAGCACCGCACAAGTCGGCAAGAAGGCGTCCGCGCGTTCGCTAGCTTGGAGCTGAGCTCGTCAGAAGTGTGATTTCCTCAAGTTAGTAGCAGACTTGACATGGTGTGTCTTTTGTGGGTGACCCTTTTTTGGTGGGTCCCCTAAAGAAGCAGACCCAAATGGAATTGCAGAGTAACTTTAGTAGTTTGCAAAGTTTGGGGCTTGCCTCCTACCGCATGCCTGCTCAGCATGGTCGAGCGGAGCGTGCTTGTGCTGTATGCATTTCTTCTCCGCAGGAGAGGAGACTGCTTGCAATAAATCCTTTCGGCTGGCATAGGTATTGTGACCCAAGGTTCCTGTTGGCTTTGGGATAGTTTGCGGAGGTGGTCGTCCGGATTACTTTGGTCACGGCCCTTTGAATATACTCCCTTTTGCTTTAATCGCGTAGACACAGCCTGCCCTTCTGACCGAAATCTAGCCTGGTGAAAGGGTGAAACCGGGATGCCAACAGGCTGCGTGAGCAATTCTTCCGGAGATCATCATATACAACGTGACTGCCACCAAGACAGCCTCCCCATGGACAGCATTTGAGATCAGGCTTGAACTACTTAGTGTACCATTGCGTACCACAGCTTCACGTGTCACCCTCAGCTTTTTTTTTGGCGGATATCCAATCCACAGCCATTGTGGTCATGAGGGGGCGCTCTGGTTCGAATCTGGTGTGATTCACCCCCCCTGCTCCCTTGACCAGGATTGCAATATGTAAACAACCAGACCCTGGTTACTCAAAAGCCAAAAGGAGGGTGTTCAAGCAGGTGTGAGCGCATGTTCAGACAAGTTGAAACACGGGGGTAGCCGAAGCTATCCACGGCTTTATTGCGCTCTCAGAACGCTAGAGCTGCAGATCCTGTCTCGGGCCTATCGTGAGATTGGCATGGGAAGGGCCTAATGAGTTGCATGAGCAACGGTCTGGATATGGAAGAGCGGCGGGAATGTCCAACATGTTCGTTGCACATGGGGGCAACATGTCGTGTTTTCAACGACATCAACGTCCCACTGACACCCAGTCAGCATGCGCTTGTTCTTTCTTTCAGATCTGACAGGCTAGTTTATGGTTGCCGCTGCAGCCGCAGGATCAGAATGCACAAAGCCAGTAATGGCTTATTTCTGTCCGCTTGCTAAGACCCAATTGCACAAACATGCAGACAAAAGTGCAGCGAATCAGGCAAGCAAGCACGCAAGCCAGAAAGCATTGAAACTAAAAGCAAGCAACCAAGCAAGCACACAAGCAACCAACCAAACAAACAAGCGCGCAACCAATCAAGCAAACAAGCAATCAAGCAAACAAGCAAGCAAGCTAGCTAGCCAGCAAGAAAGCAAACAAACACACACACACACACTCACAATCACATAAACACACACACAAACTCACACATGCACGCAACACACACACACACAATCACGCACACAAGCAAACATAAACACACACACACACACAAACACACAAACACACAAACAACCAAACACACAAACACCCAAACACACAAACACAGTTAAACACACAAACAACCAAACACACAAACACACAAACACACAAACACACAAACACAGTTAAACACACAAACAACCAAACACACAAACACACAAACACAGTGAACCACACAATCACACAAACACACAACCACACAACCACACAAACACACAAGCACACAAACACACAAACACACAAACACACAAACACACAAACACCAAATACACAAACACACAAACAAACAAACAAACAAATCAAATCAAATCAAGTCAAATCAATTCAACCAACCAACCAAACAAACAAACAAACAGACAAACAAACAAACAATCGAACCAAACAAACAAACACACACACAAACAAACAAAGAAACAATCAAACACACACACACAGACAAACAAACAAACAAACAAACAAGCAAGCAAGCAAACAAACAAACAAACAAACAGACAGACAGACAGACAAACAAACAAACACACAAACAAACAAACAACCAACCAAACAAACAAACAAACAAACAAACAAACAAACAAACAAACAAACAAACAAAATCAAACAAACAAACAAACAAACAAACAAACAAAGAAGCGCGCAAACAAGCAACCAGTCAAACAGCTTTCTGTGACAGAACTGGTGGTACCCGGCAGAGGACTTGTCTTTTAAGGCTCATCACCTTAAACTTAAGGCTTGTGCTCTGTGATGTAGAGGGTCAGCTGATGTTCAGGTTATCCGATCATAAATAGTCGCTTTGATGGCCTGGAATAAAATCCGGTCCCCAGCAGACACGTTTCAGTTGTTTGGGGATTGTTACTTTGCAGCCCAGCAGTTATCAATGGAAGCCTGGGTCGCTTGCAGTTTGCCAGACCGATCCGACCATTGCTCAGAAAACGTTTCACCCAGTCAAACGCTCGGAAAAAATGCCAACTGCAGTGAAGAGAGTATGTACACGTAGTTGCGTATATGTGCACATAAGTTTTTCCTTCTTCTTCTTCTTTTTTCCCCAACAGCTGAAAGCTTTGGGGTCTCAGCCCAGATAGGCTCCGGGGTGGTCCGGGGCGGCCCTGAGGTAAGGTTCCACGAGGGTTCCACCAGGGTTCCACCAGGGTTCCACCAAAGTTCCACCAAGGTTCCACCAGGTTCTGCGAGGGCTGCGGGGTGGTCCGGGGTGGTTTGAGGTAAGGTTCCACGAGGGTTCCACCAGGGTTTCACCGCTCCAGGGTGGCCCTGAGGTAAGGTTCTACAAGGTTCGACAGGGTTCCACAGAGTTCCACAAGGATTCCACAAGGGTTCGCACAAGGTTTCCACTCCGTGGTTTGGAGGGAAGCAATGTGTCGTGCGCCCACCGTCTGAAAAGCCATCGGAGCAGTAAATTGAGGGCTCAGATCGCTTTGCTCATGGGCATCCCGAGAAGCGTTTCCGGGGGATCTCAAGAGAAACCAGTTTGGATGGTGCGTTCCGGAAAGTGCCAAGCCATGCTAGTCGGGCGACAAAAATGCATCAACGTCCCCGCAGTTCCACTTTGGGTTCATTTCGCCTTTCGCCAAGCAAAACCGAAATCAATGGTTTTCAGTACCATTGTACTGTTTTGACTTGCTCACTTGCTCAGACAACGCGGCCCGAAATGTTGGCTTTGTGGCGAATCAGATTACGTTGCTGCGGGACTCACTGTGCAGCAGAGCAAATGCTTGGCATTAATGAGCATTGCTTGGTGGAGGCTGCCAGGGCTATGGGGTAAGGTTCCAAAAAACGCTCCACGAGGTTTCCACCAGTTCTGCAAAAGCTATGGGGCAGCCCTGAGGAAAGGTTCCAACAAAGTGTCACGCTGAGTTTTACGAGGGTTCCACGAAAACGGTTTGCGAGGTTCACCGGGCCTAGGTTGGGGCCCGATTGTACTGTCGGGGCCCGATTGCACCGTTGGGGCCCGATCGGGCCCAGATTGCGCCGTCGGGCCCCGATCGCGGCCCGACTCAGTCGGGGCCCGTCAGCTGGCATTGCCTAGGTTTGCTAGACACACTTGTATGGCCGCATCCTAAGGAAAACCGGCGTTGGTCTATAATTTGGGTGGCTTGGGTGGTGGGAGCCCTCGGGCCCCGATTGCGCCGTCGGGCCCCGATCAGGGCGCGATTGCCCTGTCACTCTTATTGCTTATCAAGTTAGAAGGCGGCATCCTCAGCAAAACCGGCGGTGAGGTGGGTCCTAGGCCGGGGGTGTGCTGCTGTTGGGGATAATTATCGCCTGAGCTTGTTTTAGACATACGTATGTACGTAGCATATATATATATACATATATATATATATATATTTGCATGTATATACATATATCTTTATACACTTACACACACATAGAAAAATACATATATATATATATATATACACAGAGATACATACTTTGCCAATACACACACACACGAAATTCCCTGAGCAAGCACCAATCAGACACTTTTGATTGAAACAGTGACGGCCACTGCTAGAGGATAGTCTTCGAAAAGAACTGGAGAGACGGAATGAGGGCTTGCATATGTGCAAGTATATATAGCTCACCAAGCCTTCACAAAGCAAAACACAGTTTCATCCTGTTCCAGTTGAGAATCGGTGCCTGTCGTTGTGTCCAAAATTCCTTAGAGAACAAGCTAGATTGGATTCACAGGGTTCCTGCATGTCCTATTTAGGCCGTAAAAAAGGATCTGAAAGTAGGACATTTTTCCTGCATGTGTTTCAGATTGTTTGGGGACTTGCCAGCACAATTGGTTAGTTTGGGATGAGCCCAAATAGCGGGGTTACTCGTAGACTCCTGGCCTTACGCTGGCTACGAGCAGACCAGCACCAGCACACATCATGGGACCGGCGCCCGAAGCCGCGGCTGAAGCGGCGGCAGCGGCTGACCATCTTCCATTTGCTTAAGAGTATGTTGTATCTTTTGCTTGGTTTTAAAGGGAATCTATCCCTACTAGAAATATTTAATTTGTTTGTCCAGGGAACTTAAGAAAATGGAGGTCATAATTCTTTGTGGCAGCATGATCCATCCAGGAATCCAGTCAATTGCAGCTCAAGCGGCAAGCAACGAAAACATCGGCACTACCCCTTGTCCAACTTGTGGATTGTGGTTAAATGGAAACCGAAACGAAACAGTTGCTGTTTGGCAGGGTCCTTCATTTCCCTTTTAAACCAATCTCCTGTATCGCAGTCCCGCACCCCTGTCTTTGTTTTCCTCCCTTGTCTACTCGCCATGGACGAGCCCGGTCTCAAGACGGAGGACCAGCTGGACAAGGCGCAGGCATGCGTCGTTTGTTTGCCCCGTTGCGGAGCTGACCTTAAAAGCGTGAAGCAAGCCCACAAGGGTAGAGCACATCGAGATTTAGTTTGGTGTTCCGTTTCCAAACAACGAAGCGAGTTTATACCCTCGGCTTTTGGAGAACGCCGTTGGAAAATTTCAACAAACAGACCAAAGAAAGCGGATTTGGGTCCAGTTGTTTTTTCCTGGCCAGCTTTCTATCGATGGGATGGGAGTCTGCGTAATGTGGGTGTGGGTCTTTTTTAAGGTTGGACCCCACATTGGTGGTGTTCCTGTGATTTTCCTTTGAAACCACAAACAAAAGAGGTACCCTCAAATAGTTCGCCTGTCACTTCTTCCTATAAATCAACCTGCCCCGTATAATAAAACTCCCCCGAGCCGCGGCAAAAAATCGGCAATACTAAATTCAAATTGGCCAATGCTAAACCAATACTAAACTCCTGAGGCTACACATGCTTGCCACCAAGCTCCCAAAATATTCTTATTAGGGGTCCCCCCTCCAGAATGTGTTTTCGAGCCCGAGCTCCGAAATTACGATTCCTTTACTAGGCTTGTACTACAAAGTTGCGATTTTCGAGCCCGAGCTCCGGGAGTACGATTCCTTTACTAGGCTTGTGCTACAAAGTTGCGATTTTCGAGCCCGAGCTCCAGGAGTACGATTCCTTTACTACTACAAAGTTGCGATGTTCGAGCCCGAGCTCCGGGAGTACGATTCCTTTATAGGCTTCTACAAAGTTGCGATTTTCGAGCCCGAGCTCCAGGAGTACGATTCCTTTACTACTACAAAGTTGCGATGTTCGAGCCCGAGCTCCGGGAGTACGATTCCTTTATAGGCTTCTACAAAGTTGCGATTTTCGAGCCCGAGCTCCGGGAGTACGATTCCTTTACTGGGGTTGTTCTTACTCAAAAGTTGCAATCTGAGCAGTTTTTGCTCCAAATCAAAGGAGATCCACTTTCCAACACAAGTCCAATACAAAACAGCAAGCTATCAACTTGGATCTAGGCCCGAACCGGCGACCCCTAATAATAAAACTCCCCCCCCCCCCCCAGGTTTTGCGATTAGTCTTCCTTTAAAGGCAACCCTTGAGAGGAAGTCAAAGGGGCACTATCCCGATCCGCGCGCTAGCTACTATCCCCCCTTCCCACGCTACCACCCCCCCTCCGCGTGACAGGCGCCCCCTATGCCGATCCGCGCGTCCGTCAGGTACCTCTAAGCGGATCAGCGCACCAGCTACCCGCACTACTATCCCCTTCAGGTACCCCCTATCCCGATCCATCAGCCACCCTCTAACCGTATCCGTGCGCTAGCTACCATCCCCCCCTTCCCGCGCTACTATCGCGACAGGTATACCCCCCATCCCGATCCGCGCGTCAGCTACTATCCCTCCGCACGTCAGGTACCCCCTATCCCGATCCGGACGTCAGCTACTATCCCCTTATCCGCGCGTCAGGTGCCCCCTATCCAGATCCACACGTCAGCTACTATCCCCCCGTCCGCACCTCACGTACCCTCTAACCGGATCCGCGCGTCATCTCCTATCCCCCCTCCCGTGCTACTACCCCCCCCTCCGAGCAACAGCCCCCATCCAGGTGCCTATCCCGATCCGCTCGCAAGCTACTATCCCCCCTATCCGCACGTCAGGTACCCCCTATCCCGATCCGCGCGTCAGCTGCTGTCCCCCCTTCACCCCAATACGCGCGTCACTACTATCCCCCGATCCACTCGTCAGCTACTATCCATACGTCGTATTTTAATGTTGACCCCGTATTAGTATGTAACCCCCCCCCCCCTCGAAGGTCGGGAAGGTTTTGGGGGGGAAGACTTTTTGCCACCCCCCCTAAATAATCTGGAGTTGAGTTTCCATTTGTTTAGTATTGCTGGAGCTCCCTTTTGAGATCTGGAATTGAGTTTCCATTTGATTTAGTATTGCTGGGGATTCCTTTTGAGATCTGGAATTGAGTTTCCATTTGATTTAGTATTGCTGGAGGCTGAGATCTGGAATTGAGTTTCCATTTGATTTAGTATTGCTGGGGCTTCCTTTTGAGATCTGGAATTGAGTTTCCATTTGATTTAGTATTGCTGGGGCTTCCTTTTGAGATCTGGAATTGAGTTTCCATTTGATTTAGTATTGCTGGGGCTTCCTTTTGAGATCTGGAATTGAGTTTCCATTTGATTTAGTATTGCTGGGGCTTCCTTTTGAGATCTGGAATTGAGTTTCCATTTGATTTAGTATTGCTGGGCTTCCTTTTGAGATCTGGAATTGAGTTTCCATTTGATTTAGTATTGCTGGGGCTTCCTTTTGAGATCTGGAATTGAGTTTCCATTTGATTTAGTATTGCTGGGGCTTCCTTTTGAGATCTGGAATTGAGTTTCCATTTGATTTAGTATTGCTGGGGCTTCCTTTTGAGATCTTAATTGCTGGAGCTTCCTTTTGAGATGGCCATTTGATTTAGTATTGCTGGGGCTTCCTTTTGAGATCTGGAATTGAGTTTCCTTTGAATTAGTATTGCTGGAGCTTCCTTTTGAGATCTGGAATTGAGTTTCCCTTTGATGTAGTATTGCTGGAGCTTCCTTTTGAGATCTGGAATTGAGTTTCCATTTGATTTACTATTGCTGGAGCTTCTTTGGGGGGTGGGGCCGATGGACCGCACTAATTAGGGGGTGGATTATTGATTGGGGGTGTTAGGGGCCAATGTGGGGTGCTCTTTGAAACCTTGTAAACTTGATTTGTTTAGTAAAGAATTTAATAAGAAATCGACAATCTCAGAACACTTTTTGTTTTTGTGGTTTGGGCAGGCCCAAAAGTATCCACCAAGCTTCAAGATGAGAGTAGGAGGTGGAGATGAGAGCCCTAAGCAAGGCAGCAGCATGAAGAGAAAGGTACCAGAAGAACGCATGAGCCCATTTGAGACAAAGCACCTTTTCAGCACACCATTCAGAGAAAGCATTGCAAGCAGCATGAGTCGATTCAACATCAGCAGCATCAGCTAGCACCAAAAAACAGTTTACATTGTAATGAGCTCAAGAAGCAGTGGAGAAAATGAAGCCATCTGGGGGAGGGACCGGTCTAATTGGGGGGGGGGGGGTGCATCATTTTTTATTTGGGGGGTATTTTCTGAGATATGCATTGTTTAGTATTGGGGGGGTCCACCCGGACCGGACTAATAGGGGGGGGGGATTATTAATACAGGGTCAACATTACAGCATTTTGTCACGCAATTTACGTATTTTACAATAGCCCGTCAACAGTAAATAAATCTAAAAAGTAGCAGGCGGGTTGACGTGGTTGAACAAGTGATGATTCAAATAAGGGTGCAACTCAACCCCCCCATGATTCAAACAGTGCGCAGTTCAATCTCTCTAGAGAATCTAAAAAGTGGCGGCGGGGTTGGGGGGTGGCGGCAGCCCCCCCCAAGATGCTCGAAGAAGTGATGATTCAACTAGGGATGCAATTCAATCTCTGTAGGGAAGCAAAAAGGGGTGCAAATCAATCTGTGGATTCAGATTCCAACCCTGTGCATGAGTGTACCTTGTACATGCTCTGCCGCTACAGACTTCAAGAACACTGACAGCAGTGTGAAAAGGTAGTCAACGGTTTGCTGCTTGCCTAGGTATTCCCTTAGGTGGCCTAGGCTTGATAACACAGGTTATCAGCCGTAAAGGCTTGTACATAGATCGCCATGGCATCCGGAGATATGCCTGCTATTTACAACATATCTGGAGACGTTGGTGACGGTAGTGAAGGTGCAGTTGCATCCAATGGTCCTGTTGACCCTCGCGATCCACGAAACGTATTCGGGTTCGCGACAAACTACCAAGCCACCCAGAATATTATGCATGTGCATAACGACACGGGTGACGCTGTTAGGGAAGAGGCCAACACGTTACATCGCGTTGCTATGGATGCTGCAAGGGCGGAATATAGCGCTCATTTGGCAGAAACTGTGCATCGCCTGGGTGAGGAGAACAACCGCCGGACCCTTGAGCTGCACGAGCAGTTCGCAGAGTCCCGCGCTTTCTTCAGCGCCCAGGTTAGCCAGATGCGGGGAGCAATTTCTGCCGAAGTGAACGAAGCTGTGTCGCAAAGAACGGCACAGTATAGCGCTTTCGCACAAAGCTTACATGCTGAGACTGTTGTGATGGAGAACTCGGAGAAGGCGGTCGGTGAGCAGAGAGACAGTATTTTGGCGGAGAATCACGCCATGCAGGACACGATCAACGGGCTGAACGACACCGTTGAGCGTCTGAGGAACGATCTCGAAAAGGCGCAGCGTGAAATGGTGCGCGGAGATCCTCAGCCTGCGTCAAGTGTACAGAACGTCAGTTCGGAGTCGTTTTTGGATAAGAGGGGCAGTATCTTTGATGATCCGCGTCTTTTTCCAACGCAGAATGCACAAACTTCTGGAACTATGCCACAGATTATTCCACAGCAGAGTTGGACTGATCCTATTTCTGGTGCAATGCAGTTTGATATCAAAGATCATGCGAGACGGTCTTCGGAGCAAGAGAACAGCCGAAGTCAGCAAAATCAGTCGACAAATCAGCCGAACATTGATCGGTTGACTGGTCCCGAGACCACCGAGGCGGAGTTCCGTGCGGCCCTCCTCGGCTTCGTCCGGAATCAGCATGATCGGCCAAAAGCAAAGGAAGCTGATTCGTTGAGGCTGAGTGAGTTTCCCACTCCTGAGACCTATAGAGCCTGGAAAACGGCTACTCGCGAAGAGATTCGGGCTGCTTCAGATCGGCCTGATGCTGCATTCACCTGGGTTAACAAGGTGTACGTCAACCGGGAGGACAAGAAGAATCTCATGTTAGAGCTTGGAGATCCAGAGCAGTTTGAAACGTTGGATACAAAGCTTCTTGCGGCCTTGTCGCGGATTGCTAGGGGCGACCTTAGTCGGCAGATCCTCACCTACAAGGAGCAACAAGCTGCTTTGGACAAAGTTGTCCGTGGACGTCAAGTTCTTCTCATGTTTGAGCA